GTAGGACTCGGGAGCTATAATAGGTTTGGTAACCAGGCTATGAAGATTCTGCAACAGTGTGCTGTTTTAACGTAAAGTATGAGCATGCGCTGTGGCTTTAGGACATACTTAGTCTACCTGTCATCCTGTTATGTATGTTATTCTGATTGTCTTTGTTTAACAAAGATGTAAAAGGCCACGTTTTGCCTCAAGCGTTCTTATGGTTCCTTCTTGGAAGGGATATTAAAATAACAGTGCTGTTTACACTGACCTGGTCTTTTTACACGTGCTATATGGTAAAATAAGACTTCCTTAGGAATTTTTCATTTATTTTTCACACTTTCTTGGCTTCTGTTTTTTTTACATCGTGCTATATGATGATGAAATAAGACTGTCTTAGGAATTTTGCATTTATTTTTCACACTTTCTTGGCTTCTTTTGGGATGTAAGACAACCAGTAGTAAGAAAGAAAGCACTCAAGACTGAGAGACACTGTAAAAAAAGAGTTTTGTAACGCTTATTTGCCCCCCTCCATTCTATACACTGACAAATTCAAATAAACAAATGGACAAACATTAACAATGGGTGAAAGAGTCAATTGTAACGTTTTTCAAGTAGGCTGAGGCTGTAGGAGATATCCAGACGTTAAAGATGACATAAATTAATAAACAAACAAACAAACAAATAAATAAAATAAACTACTGGGTATTAATATGGATCAAACCAAAAGCCCCCCTCCCCACCTACCATTATTAGATGCACAGAAGTGAGAATTGATAAACAGTGAGCAATGTGTCATGATTCAATAATTAATCACTGATAGTTTTAGATTTATAATGTCATTCATAGAATTTTAAGGCATTATTATGTAAGCCAAATATTTCAAAGTGTGTTTTCATGTTCAATAAAGTTTTGCATCGTCGGTTGGATGAGGATACCTCCCTTTACCTGATAAAACAGTTATTTCCATCATACATGTATAGGTGTACATTTACATGTAGACATATTTAACTACAAATTGCAATTGAGTATGTAAACATGCATTCCTAAATGCACTTTCTTAAATATACAGCAAAGTGTGTTACAGAGAAAACTTAGGCTATCATACATGTATTTCACATTACAATTATCTCTAGGGAGTAGATCATCTTAAATATCCCCTACAGAAAGACAAAGACAAATTGGAAAGGGTACAGAATCAAGCTGCAAGATTCTGTATGAACAACTATGAAAGAGGTGCTAGTGTCACGGAAATGAAAAGAAACCTACAGTGGGCCTCACTGGAAAACAGAAGAAAGATGTCCAGACTATGCATGATGTACAAAATGACTAATAAACTGGTGGATGTCCCAACTACTAAGTACCTAAAACCAGCCCAGAAGAGAACAAGAAATAGCCATGCCTTCAAGTACCAGAGTTCTCAACCAAGGATTGAGGTGTTCAAGAATTCATTCTTTCCTAGAACTATCGCAGAGTGGAACTCACTGTCACCAAGTACAGTAGAAGTTGTCAATAGATAGCTTTAAACAAAATCTAGAGCCTAGAAGTTCAAGGGTTAGGTGTAACAAGTCGATCGGTGTAATATAGCCAGCTGCCGCTGCGCCGCGTGCCTGCGAAGCTGGTGTGTTACGCCGAAAGGCGGTTATACCGGCTATACAGATACAGATACATCTACGTCAGAGATTTGCAATTTGCAATTAACCACCTGATAGTACATACAGTAGTCTTTTACATGGTACATGTAGATAAGTCTTTTAATATGTTGTAATATTTTTCTTCTTAAATAGCAGTAGTTGCCATATGGTTCTACATTGTACAAAGGTTGTGCAATAAAGTTTATGTAATATGTTAATCAGTAATATGTTAAAGCACATCTGTTATCATAGCATAAAGAGAATGACTACAAGAAACCATTCTCAAAGTGAACAATTATGATAATAATTCCTTATGTATGTATGTATTATTTCATATCAATTTCATTTTATCTCAATTTATGTATACTACTGTTTCATTATTGTTATTGTATCATTTTGCCCATGTTTGAATTGTTTTGATAACAATTCCTTATGTATGTATGCCTTATTTTAAATCAATTATGTTTTCTTTTGGTTAGTATAGAGGAGGAGGGCTTAGCATAAGCTAAATAAGCTTTATCCCTCCTCCTGCACCTGTTTTATTCATTATTAATTTATCATGTATAATTTTTTATTGCTGTTCTGCAAATAATAAACAAACAAACAAACAAACAAACAATCGCATAAACGTTATATCAGTATACACAACAATCTGATAACCTTTCGCTGTGTAATGTTTTTATCACTAATTTTAAATGAAAATGACACTTTGGCATATTGTATAGATTCTTCACATTTATACATGGCGTGAAGAACCAGTATGAAAGAATCCAGCAGGGAAACCCATGGATATTTTAGTAAATGTGCTGCTACGTTGGACTAAAGTTCATTGACTTTCCAAACAGAAAATGAATGCTAGCATTCCCTAGCACTCATTTTGGCAGACAACTTGTTCTGAAGACTTGTTCTGTTTTGGCAAAATCTGCTGACCTGTTGCAATCAAAACCTCTAGGAAATTAAAGAATGGAGAGATTTTTTGCCACAGGTAAAACTCTGAAACTTCTCCTTACATTTACATGCCTGCCCCACAACCGGCTACTTGCTATAGGCAACATCACACTGTATTATATCAGTTTACACTAGGATAGTAGGATAAGAATAAAACTTCTGCCGACTCACTTACCTAAACGCCCCCGCAGGTCTTGGCACTCATTTCTCCGAACTTACAGAATTTCTGGGCTAGGCCATTTGATCGATTTTCCAGTAATTAGCCTCCAAAGTTGTCTGTGGCAGCGGCGAACTCCGAGAATTGTACCGGCGGAAAACCAGGCTTCTTCCAGCCTACCATAGCGCCCTGTACCGCCAGGCTAACCCTGGTCCATGCTGGCAGACAGATGAACTACTTTTCGGACTTAAGTGACGTCGGTGGGGTTAAAATATAGACATTTCTGACAGATAGCCCCACAAGGTGTACGAGAACAACCGGCGAAGACGTTTTGAATGGACGAGTCCAAGTGTTAAAGGTCAATAGGGGGGCACGTGGCATGCGAATGTACACCTTCTAAAAGTTGACTAAGTTTTATTTGCACAAACATAACTGTTACAGCGTTGTAAATTAAGATAAGTATTACCAGAATGATCTGGAATAATTGATATAAATAGTAAGAAAGACATTAACTCTTGGTCTTGCTAGAATGGAAGACGGATGTTGAAAAATGGTATAGTCCAAAAAGGTGAACAAGTTGAGCCAGTTGATCCGCTGACATGACATTACCGGCAATTACGCAGATTACGACAATAATCATGGCACATTAACATCCACTAGAACGTTGACATGGTCTTTCGTCTCTTTGTCTCTTTTTCCAAAAGTCTGTTCCTGGCTAAGGTTTATGTGCAAAATTTCTTTGCAGAGATAAAACAACAACAACAAGAATATGGCGCCAATAAGGAAGAAAAACAACAACACATCAACAACAGGAAAATCACATATAATGAGAATATAATGACACGTTTTCTCGTGACTAGACACCAGATAGCCCACCCAGAGACAACATTTAATTAAAATGTCAATTACAAGCCGGTTTCGTCAAGCAGAGATGGTGAGAAATATATCACACTTTAATTCTTATATATTACAAAAGTAAAGGTGACGTAGCCATTTTAAGGTGGGGAAAGCACGATGATTCTTATGAGGCATCAAACTGAATTTCAGGACGACAAACAAAATTATTCCGGATGACTGATATTGACATTTTCTGCCATTTCTGAGCACATTTTGTCATCACGTCATACTTGTAATGTATGTAATGTAAATGTATATGTAATTGAACGTGATGTATTGTTATGTCTTACATGTATGTACCCTCTCCTGGAAGAATAGCTGCCACCCTCGGGTGGGCAGCTAAAGGAGAGTTTTTCCTCAATAAACCTCAATTGTGGCGTTTACAAGCAGTACTCGAATACTTTCAGGCACTGTCCATAAATAGCTAGAAGCAGCTAGCCTCTACCAGGCTTCGGGAGCGGCAAACTGTACTCTCTAGCGGACCAACTCCCCTGGCATGTTATCTATCTATTTAGCCGATTTCTACTATTTCGAAGCCTGGTAGAGGCTAAAATCAGTCTATGATACAAAACAAGAAACCGTTTTCTATCAGTGACATATCACATTTTGGCCTCACAGATATCAGTATGTTATGGGGTAGGATTGAGTCTTATTACATTAAAAAGAATGACAAGAAAATTGACCTTGAAAATCCACTCTTGTTAACATGAAATTGCATTGGATGCCTTTAAGTAGCTAGAGGTTTTCAGCCAAGAGTACCTAACCACCTCTGTTTTTCTCAATAAATGTGTTGGATTCTTTGACGTACAAGGATTATGATGGTTAAGAAAAACACCCGAAGCTCCCCGGAACTTTACGTCACCAACCGAAGGGACTAATGCAATCTCTCAAACCGTGCCCGAGCGGGGTTCGAACCTCCACACTGTATAAATGGTTCGCTCATTTTTGCGCTACAAAACGTCTGGATAGAATGTCCTTGGTTCTATAGATGAATTCGATTAATGAATAAAAGATATACAAACTGACGTGGTCGTAATTTCTTTACAAGGTCACGTATTCACCCTGCAGCGTAAATAAAGACCATCAATCACCAATAATAGTATAATACAAATGCCTATAGAGAATTCGAAAGGACTGTTTAACTATTATCACGCACCCCCCCCTCCCACTTTTCATACGGTTGACAATACATACATGTAAGAAGCTTAAGCATAGTTAAAGCTAATCGATCTTGAGCCTTACTAACCACGGGATTTCTACCATACTTGTAAATTGTATACAATATATCTTATCTTCAATAAAAGTGTTTTGGACGACAGCTAGCTTGAGACAACGTCCTGATCTTCGCACGAATCAATGGAGACATTCATACGGTTGACAATACATACATGTACGAAGCTTAAGCATACTTAAAACTAATCGATCTTGAGCCTATCTAACCACGGGATTTCTACCATCCTTTAATATATGAATTGTAAACAATGCATGAATATCATATCTTCAATAAAAGTATTTTGGACGACAGCTAGGTTGAGACAACGACCTGATCTTGGGACGAACAAATGGAGACATTATACAGTAGAACCATTGTAAAGGGAATAAAACCAAAATCAATAGATGTATACCAGTATACAGGACCCTAATTCTTACGGTATTTAGATGTACATGTACTACAGTGGCTGATACTAGTACCAACTGGCCTTGACTGGCCATTACTAGTAGCACGCATAGCTTTATCATATTGGATATAACTACATGTAACGTTATGCAGCTATGTATACATGTCTGTATATGCTTCTTGTATTGAACTAGATATGCCGCCATGCATTTCATAACATACAGATAAAGAACTTATACAGACTGAATCCTAAATAAAACGAGTCTAAAATCAGCCTATTTTCCAGACTACAGTATAAAGGAATGTGTGGAACAACGAACTATCAGAAGAACAGGTGTAGAAAAAATGTTAAGTTGTCTCACCGCCTCTTCGGTGGGTTCCCGCCCCATCCTGCTTGGCGGAGACCGAAGCATCCTGGTCCATGTACCAGACGTCCCTCTCACCGGGAATTTCTCTCAGAAAAAGGGCGGGAAATCTCGCATGTTTCCCTCAGACCAACTGTCGTCTCAGACGAGCTACAGTCAGGTCATTTTTCCCGCCAAAAACACACCTGGTCCTCGAAATACACCAATGTAGAAGACCACGGGTAAAGTCATGGTCTAGGACGTTTTCTTACGAATTTCAGACGATATTTTTGACGAAAACATGGCCGACAAAACGCCTGTACGCTCAATGACGACCTGGAGCGTACAAAGAACGTGTTTCCCACTGGCTGATATTGATAATGGTTTCTGTACGACTGACATCAAATATTTATAAGGCAGGAGCATGTCAACCTTTCCACTGTAGTTATTGTACAGCCGGTTTTTCTTTGAGTCGGAGGTTTTATCATTCTACTGAGTGGGGCTATCATTGGGCGCTTATGATTTATAAATAACAGTGGTGTGTGTGCATGAAAGCTAATATAAATATTGGAAAACCCTTTGAGAGTGGTAATAGTTATATATACACTGTCTCTATATATACACTGTATCTACTTATTTATTTATTTATTTATTTCAGCTTTATTACAACAAAAGATGTAAAAGGTTGGGGGAAACAGGACCATACTCCTTTTAAAGCCCCCACCAATATAAACTATATGGATTACATAAATAATAAACAAAATAAACAATAACAGAAATCATAACAACACTATTTACAAGGGTGATGACAAAGAATTAACAAATCATATAATGAATCTATATTGAAAGGTCTTTGACAATACATTTATAATCATTAGTTTATTTGTTTTTTTACGAGTATTTAGTCATTTGTTCCATTGCATCTTCTACTTTTTCGTTAACCTTCAAATCCTTTGTATTTAGTACAGGTGAATATATCTATAGCACTAGGTCCTAAAAATACGTAAAATATTTCACATTATCCTATATTTTCCATATATGTACATTATTAACTGTTCAGTGTCTACTAATTTTCTCACAAATTCCTATACTCCGAAAATTAATTTTACAGGTATATCTATTATTATGGCATCGTACTACAATAGCTAGGACCGCCCCCCTCCCCCGTCACTTCCATAACTTTGAACAGTGCACACGTACAGCCTTCCCACAATGCACCCAGCCACTCGTTCCTAATTCAATAAATACGTAACAGAGCTCTGGGAACAAGAGCTCCCTAATGTGCCGAATTACCGGAGAATGCACGAAGGTCACTCTCCTTTGTTAGAGCAGATAAACATCTTGTAACTAAGCAGCGCTTAGCTAATAGAAGGGTTGGAATTGGGGCGCTCAGTCATACTGTCACCGTAAGTGTTCTAAATATTCATTTTTGTAGATTCATCTTAGGCCACACCAAGTAAATTTTATGGATGACGTCCTTTGGAGACCCTAAATCTAATGCGAGAGGGCGAAAAAAAAAAACAAGAAGGGCCCTAAAAACAAGATGCCTAGATTAGAAATATACTGAGAGACGACAAATGTTAGGACACAAATTGATTGAGGTTACACAAATTAACAAGCAAGAAGTCTTTTATTCATCATTAAAACAGCAATAAATCAGGTGGAACAGCAGTTGTCATCCTGTCCTGTTTCCTTTCTTTAATCACATCTTCCCGTATCCCACTGTTGTGACTCTTTGGTCATAGTTACAGGATCATAGAGTCTAGGAACAGGCCAAAATCAATGCGCGCGCGGACGTCATTCATAAAATTTACTTGGTGTGGCCTTAGTAGACATAATGGAAGAACACAGAAGGTACAACTGAAAGTCGCATAAAAGACACAATTATGGTAAATCCATGAAACCAAAGGTGTATTCCATTTGTGTGACCTTGGTGAATGAAACGAAATGGGTTTTCGTGACCTGACTATTGTGAATGACTATTGTCACCATCAGTATGCTCCCTATCTGACTACATTCATGCAGTCATATTTACATACTCGCATAAGATACCAAATGTATGTGTGTATGATTATGTATGTATGTGGGGCCCGACATCAGCTCAGCTGCCAGGGCTTCCACTGTATTGCTCTGTATTGTTTGCAATTTAAATAAATAAAATAAATAAGATACCAAATAGAACTCTGTAATTAAAATAGCATAAATGACATCTGGGTTAATTATTATACCCCCCTCCATAATTAAAAGAACAAGACTGGCCCAACAGCTTTATTATAGGTAACGTTATATTCATTTTTTATAATAATCTACTATAATCATGTTTTAAATGAGATCTTACATTGACAAAAAACTGTATTATGTATACTTCTGTTTATACTTCTATTAATTATTTTTTATCAACTGATGATGGAAGCATAAAATCAAGAGTGCGCCCCCCCCACCCGTCTGACCTTGGTGAACAGGAAGGTCATCACTCATTGGCGGA